GTCACACGCGTGTGCTGTAATAAATGACCTTTTGTGCGAAAAAAGTGCTTTTTCTCTTCATATTGTTCAGAGGACTTGATGAAAATTAAGATATCTACTGAAGCATAAACACATCATAAAAAACCAAAGGAAGTTATTCCTCTGAATAGTAACGTTGTACACGCATTGTTGACGAAATAATTTAATGGAAAGTTTTCAGCTAATTTTGTCTAATGAAATAATTATATTTTTTGGCAAGACGTTGGCAATGACGACGCATATCATTATTTCATTAGAAATGCCAACGATAACGCACCACAACACCTATAATTTTGTCGATATATTCCAAAATGTTTCGTTTACAAATAAAACTTTTTTGACCTAACTACGGTCATCAAGCGTTCAACTTTAAATATCTGAACTACAGTGCAGGGCAATACACTAGTGTATATTTAATTCATTTTATCACAATCGGATGAAACTCGTATTCATATTTTGAAGATTAGGGGTTCATACATTTTAACGTTTTAATTTACATATTGATAAATAACTTTCACATCCTGTTTTCGCAATCGGCGTTACATGTAGGATTAGAAATTTCAAAACTACCAAAAATGAAAAAAAGAAGCCTTTATGATATAATGAAAATGTAGCTGTTTATTAATTGTTTGCGCGGGGTTTGTAACTAATAAGAACAACAAATGTAAAAAGTTGTCTATTGTTGCTGCAGAACCTCTACTCCACATTGTTGTCCATGCAGAATGCTTTTGGCGTCTTTCTTTGAACGGGATTGACCATCTGCGGTAACAAAGTGAGAACTAGTCGACAGTTGAAAGAATAGAATGCGCACACTCTTGTCTCTGTAGTTCCTGCGTTTTCCTATTGTACCTGATCCACGAACTTACGAGTCAGTAGCGCGGCGCAATCCATTTGCGATATTCCCTCTGCAGTCCGCACCGAACAGCAACTGCACACGAGTAGAACATGAACTAGCATATTCTTCCGTCAGTATAAGTTCACAAGTCAGGACGATAATTTTTTAGCTTTCTGAATCGGTTTGATGATACTCTTTCAAACTGTGATTGTCAATTTACTTTAACTTACGTAAAATATATGGAAGTGTATGATTTAATACTTCTAAGAAGCTTGTTTATTACTAATAAGACCGGTAAATGGTGAAGCTTTTAAAAATTGTTAAAGTTGCAAAAATACGGGTTTACATAATACGATGTTTCAATTCAGTAATATATTTTTCTGTATACTCTGTACACAAGAAGAGATCATAGTTGCAACATAAAAATGTGACAAATCGTAATAATCCTAACCATACATTTTCCTATATTTACATTTATTGATCCAACTAGCGGATTATTCGGCGATGCTCAGGTGGTTGTATCAATTATTTATAGAATAGGCTTAACCACTCTGCCCTTCTCCTCTTCCAACTCCTGCTGTCGCCCACTCCCGCTCTTCTAGATCGCTTCCTCCATTCCGCCTTGTTCACTCGACCTGCCTTCCCTCACGCACGGACACACTCATACACACACATTTTTATGCATAAACATTAATAGAAAATATCTTAAATAAAATTAATTTATTATAATTGTCTTATGATATCTATGCATATTTGAATAATAGATGTGAAAATGTATGTTCTAGTGATTCACGACGTATGTTACTCGTATATTACCTACTTCATTGTCCTCCTCACCACTCATTCCGAATTAATTACTACTCCTGAATGGGGGGGTATTCGTTTTTTGGGGATAAATTCATTTCCAACAGATGAGCTAACTCTAGTCACACTTAATATCATTGAAAGAATCTCGAAGACGTAGAGAAACGAAGAATGTACATTCATTCAAGTCGATTCTCTCTACCAGAACATCGGTTCATATCAGGTAAATGATATGATAAAGACATAATGTGATGACGATGGTGAAAATGAAGAAGCTATGTTGGAGACAATTCAATGATTAGATTCATTGGTATATACCATGGAAATTCGTTTTCTTCTCCACAAACTGCAAATGGAGTGTCTGAGCTTGCATACCCATACCTTAACGGTAAAAAGCCGGTATACTGGCCACTACACTATGGATCATCTTGTGATGGTTTGTAAACAATATTGTGAAATAGTCCGTGCTGCAAATTCTGGCGACCAATCGCCAAATTGCCAATCGAATTCGATCGCTCTAATTGACCGAAATTTGTTTCGTCTTACGAAGAGAAAGTAGTTTTAGACAGTTCTCTCACGAAGGCCAAGTTTTCATTTCCGAATCCACTCCATTAATGATGAAATGGTTAATTCATGTGGGCCTGACACTCCGTGCGCACTTGCAGAGGGATCACTCCCACTCCCATTCCGTGCTCGAGTGAATGTTGTAGGCTGAATTTAAACGAACTAATTTGATAGGAGAGGGTTTTGTAAATTTTACAAATTCCATTTTGTGGGACTCAGGTTCGAGCAAATTCCACATGTGTGTAGAGAATGGGATTATAAAAAGAATTTCGGCATCCGATGGTGCAAATCGAGTGTAATAGTAGCTCAACTACGGGAGGTCGGCAGATCCTGAACGAAAGTGAAATCTGGAGGTTCTAAAAATAAATGCTGCAATATTCTAGGGTATGGTTTGGTAAAATTTTACGAGAGTTGAAAAGTATCACTTTTTTCCAATTAATGCGTAGTGAGTAATTTCTTATAACGAAGGTGCAATACACAATTTGCCATTAATAGTGCACTATTATTTGGCAGGTTACGTTATGCGTTCTGACGCAAAGATTTTTCGTGCTCTTGTCTTATGTGCAATTGTGCATGATACGTTGCCTACCAATTACAGTAAATGTGTAATTTCGTTATATGAAATAACATACCACATGGTAATTGGCAAAACAATATAATATTTGAACCCTCTACATCTTCTAGATGTATAGATATTTATTCTGAGAAGATCTGCGTGCTTAAAATGAATGCTTGACACTTCTGGTTAGCTTGACGTTTTCAGTGACATCTTCTAATGGAGGCAGCGACAACTAGGAGTCATAGATTCAGAGCTTCTCGAATTGTGAGAATGTGTGTAATAGAAAAATGATCTATGATCCGTGACAGATAGCAAAGCATTCTCACTTATCGGAAATTGCTCGCTCGCTACTCGCCGAATGCCGAATGTGAAGAGCTCGGTCACATGGTTGGCTGACGTCACATTTTCTGGGGGCTGAAGTATCATGTAGGAAACCAGTGCAATGCTAGATTCATAGCACAGGCGGGGTTCATCAGATTTTCGCTGTATTTATTAACCGCAATGGTAAGAGTGTATTTACTCTTACTAGTAAGTACACTCTTCCTAGTAAGTGAGACAAATAGCGAGATTGTGGAAGTATTTAATGAACGTTGATAATTTAATGTCTCATATTTGAAATATTCATTTTGAAACAATGTAGATGCTTACAATTTTTTGAGATTCCTTTTTTAAGAGAAACAACTTAATACAACGAAATTTTAAGATCTGAATGATATAATCCAAAATCATCGTTGTAACAAAAATAGTTCACTCCCTCGAACGATTGTTTGATTTTGCAGACAGTATAATGACTAATGCGTCGTTTCTTAATGTGACCAGCTTTACTGGAATCCACTGATATATTCAGTTACGACAATTTATCACTGAAGATCACAGATTCCATTACCTATAATGCATTCTTAAACGAACACACGGTAGAAACAATGTTCCAGTGCGCCTAGAGTTCGTGATAAAATGTCGCTTGAAACGGTTTTCTACAATAACAACAAAAAATCATGAAGAGCTCATGTGAAAGATTGGGCAGCGGTTTATTCTTTACATTGGACATTCATCATCACGATCTGCAGTTATTATGTAGTTTAAAATATTTTAATATTAATTTTTAAAATTCTATAGGTATTAGTTTATTTTCATAATAATTTTTAATGTAAAGCGTGAGTCGGTTCAGATCACTAGCTAGTTTCAAATAATATTGGTAAAAAATAATTCCTTTCCGTAGTTGGCTCTAAAAACATGAAGTCCTTTAGGAAGTGTTTTTTGTTACTTTACAATTTCGTCACTATCCATACATCGCAGAAGTTTTGTGAGCATTAAACAAGTCTAGAAACTCTATTGAAAATTCGAGAGATCATTAGTGTCATTTGCAAACAGCGAGTAAACGTTACTCTAGCGGACGGCAAGCGAAGTCGGGAGCGATCATAGCGCCGCGCGCCTCAACAGATGTTTCGTAATACGCACTCCAATGCCATCAATTCACCCATTTCCGTTTTTGTCATATGTATTTTACTTTTATTATACTTTACATCCAATAGAACTATCCTCACCGTGTAGACTGACACTTCCGTACTACAATCTTTTCTTGTTGAAGAACACAAATCTACAATAAACAGCGTAGAGGAACGAATCTCAGTTCGAACGAATGTCGAACGTTCCTCAGCAAAATGAGATAAGAAACATTTGTTCGTCAAATTGAGGGAAGACGATAGCGTTTTTTTCGCACTTGAATTGACCTAGGGCCGCTTCCCACGGCGCGACCGCGGCGCGCTTCGCAGCAGCGCGGCGCGTAGCAGAGCATTGGTTTGAATGGAGGCCTTCCCACGTGCAGCGGGTGGCGGCTGATGCGGCAGCCGACGCCGAACTCCAGCCACGCGAAGCGGAGGAGGGGGCACGCGCCACCGCTAGCAGAACACAGCTTTAAATGGGAGCGTTCTCACTGCGCCGCGGCCGCAGCGTTCTACCTGCTCCGGTCCCTTTGTTCGTCGTCGCCGGAGGGTCGGCGAAACCTACCCCTCCAGACCCCACCCCCTTCCACGGCGAGCGGCGGTGCGGCCGTGGCTCCGGCGGTGGCTGCGTCGAAAGGGCTCTGCTGCTTGAAGGAAGCGTGCCGCGGTCGCGCCGTGGGAAGGCGCCCTTAACTGTATACGTCCAGTGTTTCAGTATTGTTAGTCTGTCCCCTGCTTCGAGGTTAACGGGCGGCTGCGCGTGTTGCTGCTGCTGCAGAGGGCAAGCGCCAGGGGCTGATCCCGTTCCGCGCGTGGCGGGTCGGGCCCGCGGGGCGGCGGCGGCGGCGGCGCCGGCGGGCGAGCCGGGGGCGGCGGGGGCCGGCCGCTTTCCGCCTGGGCCGCCCCCGCTGCCCGCCGCCGCCGCCCTGCTGCTCATGGACGCCGCCGCCGCCCCCGAGCTGGCGCGCCGCTGGCAGCGGGCGGCGGCGGGCGGCAACGGCGGACGGCGGAGACCTCGGCGGCGCGGGCGACAACGACGGCATGTGGTTCGGGCCGCGCCTGGGGCGACGCAGCCGGCGCAGCCTGGCGCTCGAGGGGCCCTGGACCATCGTGCCGCTCAGAGGTGAGTGGCGCTCTGCAGGTTCGAGGCCCAGTCGGCCAGGTTAGGAAGTTTAGAATAGTGGCATTCTGAAGACTGCCATGCGCGCGTCGATGTTAGCGTTTTGGACCGTTGTACCCAAGTTGGCGGGTTCAAAACCGATCGAAGCCGTGGATTTTTGAGGGCGAAAAAATCCTTCGTACGCCTTCCTTCAGGGAGGAAGTGAAGCCGGCTGTCCCATGTTAGTTGATTTACTTGCATGTAAAAGATCCTTAATCCTAAATGACGCCTATAAGCTAAATTCGATATCGCATGTTTCTGTATCGTCCAAGAAATACCTCCTTCCTCTGCTAGTTGGTGAAAGGAGCGTAGCGAAATTTGCGTGGTCAGACGGAAGAGCAGGCCTCATGGCCTGTGTCTCGCCACGAAAAATAAGGCATTTATTCAATAATAGAATTCAATAACTGGGTCTGAATGAGTGAGTGTTGTTTCGTTGCGAGGCAACTACTGATCCAATAAGTCCCTTGTATAGTAGTAATGTAATGTTTTATCCTCCTACCTGCAGGAGCGATTTCCCTCTTCTAAGTATCTCCCTTGCGGGGTTTTCTCTCCACTCGTGGCAAACCCTACGCTCCCAACTGATCTCCCGACACGCATGGTAATATTGTCCACCTTAGAGTACGGGGAGAGATGGTATTAAGACTAATGAAGAAATGATCGACCCATGGGCTGTTCGTTACGGTTATGGCTTTCGCGGGATGTTGACCGGAAAACAACCGATCAGAGAAGCTGGACGCTAGAATTCCCTTCTACACAGTCGTTGAATACACCCCGTCTACGTAGTTAGTGCCGAGAATCCTTAATTGCCGGGGCTCGAACCCTAGGACGTCTCGGTCAATGATGTTGCAAAGTCGTGTTCCTGCTGTGGTATCGCAGCCGATCGCGGGTTCAAACCTGGTTGAAATCGTGGTTTTTTTTTGAAGGAAAGGGGGCCGTTGTTCCCATTATTGTGTTGGTCTCTTTCCTGATGACAAGGTTCAGTCGACTGTCCTCGAAGGGGTGAAGTATAATCGTTTCCCCATAAAGTTGAACACATGAATGAAAAGATGGCTACAATAACAGCGCTGAAAACCTCCTCTTTTATCGTGGGTTAACTTCAATGTTATCTGCTCAGCAGTTGGTTTTCAGTTATCATTAATACTTCACTAGTTTCAAATACAATTACATGTTGTTAAGTTTCACGTGCTTAGAATGCTTGCTTGAAGATTTAGGGACGTATGATATGATGCATGGTGACAAGTGGTTTTCGTTTCTGGTATTACAAAAAAAAAATTGCGCTGCTTGCACCAAATTATTTTTTTGTAAATCAAGTCTTTAATTTTTTGTTTTTGAAAACATTCTTCAAAATAAGATTGAGCATATCATGATATTTAGGTATATTACAATTGAATATATATATATATATATATATATATATATATATATATATATATATATATATATATATAATATATATTGAACTCACTTGACAACTGCATACTACTTACTACATGATATACGAAGGCAGGGGATGTATTAACATTTCGACGACTTGAAATCAATCATAACAAAACATTATGTGCGTTATGCATAATCAATTAAGACACCTTGCAAAAGACTAGCTTTACGCAAAATTTTACTGAACTCTTAACACTTCTGTAGATGCAACAATAGTTAACCGTGTTATTAAGATAAATATGTGAGATCACCATTGCTTTTACGCGAAATTAATTTAAAATTGAAACACAAATGATCCGTGCTCGTTGTTGAATCCATCAAAGTTTATACCTCACATCCCACAAAAACGAACGTGCAACTCGCTTTAAAATTACCGAAGAAAATCAATAGCGAACACAAACGCCATCATAAAATCCCGATACCGTTACGCACCGTGCTTGTGAAGATTATTACTATAACACGTGGAGGGTAGGGTTAAAGCGGCAATGCACCCGCCTCGCTCAAAAGCGGGGCGGAAGCGGAAAACCCATCAGGAAGAGGCTCCATTCGACCTCGCCCACGCGACCGATCCATCGGCAGAGAACGAGGCGTTTCATCAACTTTTTGGAGTGCGTCGTTTCGCTGTCGTCGGGTATTTAACGCGGCCTCCTACCTCTCGCTTCCCCCCCCCCCCAGGCCTCTTCACCTCTTGTACCTTCGCAGCGGGGGAGGCCGTGATGAGCGACTGAGGTGCGTTTGTTCATCCCAGCCACCGGCGAGTCGAACGGAAAAAAAATCCACGTAAGCACGAAAGGCTCAACTGGTATTACCCCGCAAGATCGAAAACGCAGCTATTTTCTCGCGTTGAAATCGTCATGGAAAAGGCAGAGGTTGGTGTTCGCAATAACGTACATCTAGAAAATCTCTTATTTGGTGTGTTCATTAATTGTTTATTAGTTCTCGATTCATTACGTTTCAGCTCAATTCTCTTTTCATTTAAGCTGAATTCATTGCGTTGGCTTGAAATATTTAAGAAATGATTGACAATTTGTTTGCCAAGTTAAAAATGAGATTCTTGACATTTACTGTAAAGTAATTCAGTAATTTACAGTAATCTAATGTTTACTATAATCATAACTTTGTTGAATGAGGTTTTTATCACTTTACATGGAATTTCAACTCCTACTATTTTTTCATTTCAAATCTATCTTTCTCAGTTCAGTTAGACAAAAAAGGAACTTTTGACTTGTTTGTTTCTGTACAACCTTTGCTTATTAGGACAAATGCTACGACAAAGGCGAAGAATTATTTCCAAAGAATGTCTTGTAAAAGTTTACAATTTTTACGAAATAAGAGCGTATTACACGTATTTTTTACCCATTACTTCAAGAGTATAATTGAACATGAGAAAACAAGAAATTAAAAATTTAGGAAGAGAGCTTAGATACACGAAAGCTATCTAAAAACGAATAACGTTCTTGGGTCAGCCTTTCCTTCTCTTTGGTCTCTTGTGCGAGCGAGAATTGTGGGAATGAAACCGAAGGGCTATGAATCATTCTGAACAAAATTCGAGAAGATGGCTGGGCAGCGAAAAACGATGGAGCGGAAGACACTGGGAAGACACAGTGTTTACGACGAAACACAAAGTAAACCAGATTAGAAAATATACTTTCTTCTTAAATACATTAACTACATCCGAATTTGATAATCATTGAGTAATAATAATTTTATTTGAAATAACTAATAAAATAAAATACTGAAATGAAATGAATCTATTGTTAAAACCGGTTGTTGTAATTCATTTAGCACATTGAAGTAAGCAATTCCTTATACGGGAAAATTTATAGACTTTACGTATTTCATTTCTGAATGCAAAATTTCGTAGTTTCATTGTTTGTCGTGCGAGATGAGACTCCTTTATCATTTATTTGAAACGTTCATTTTTGAGACTACCCGACAAGCATAATATTTATGTTGCCACTAAAACACACAAGCGATTGCGCCAGCGTATTTTCATAGAAGATACGGCTGGACGTAAAAATAATGAAGCATGTTTGACGTTCAATTACACGATTTACTTCATGTCTTTCTTCTTGATATTCCCAATCTGACAAAATCTGTTTCAAAGTATTGTAATTTACTCATTCTCATAACATTTTTTTAATGGCATGAGACAATTTTCGTCTGTCTCGTTAAGTCACCCAAAGGTTCAGAAAAACTGCAGTATAATACTCCAAGACACTATGATCATCTGAAGAACTACTTTATGTATTGTTAGTCATGATGTAATGTTAGTCACGTTCGTGATTATTTTTGAGCACAAACCATATTTAACCAAACAGACGTATTTACCGAGCAACTTAAACAAAACAAGAAACCAGCCATTCTACGCGAAACTAGTGGTCAGTAACAGTGCGAGACTGTTCAAAGACAGAAGGCAATAAGAACATTAATATTGTAAGTAATCTTATGTCTCAGTAGTGCGCTGAATATACCATTGGCGTCTTGTTAACAAAAACCAAAGTTCATTTTTTAACATTTGTTGATCAAATACATTTGGATTTAATTTATCAACTGAACGAAAACGGGACTCTTCAACATTCTTAGCACAAAATGATAAATACAAAAAAAATCATTACGTATAGGTAAAGAGGGGGTGCGTGGCATACTGTCTGTCGAGGGGGAAATAGCTGATTAAACGTCTCGAAATTTCGAGAGTGGCAAAAGCTTTCCATCCGTCGTCACGAGCGACTCTGACCGTGGTAAGTGATGGCGAACTAACCCGAGAAGTGTGGCGCGGGATCCCCTTTAGTTATAGCAGGCGCCTGGCGGAGAATCGTCGCGGAGCCAGACGCTACCATGACAGGATTACTGGTCAGTGGCGCGGGCAGGGCAACCTAAAACTCGCCCTTGGCTGCGGAGGCAGCACCCTGGGCTAGGCTTACGGATTCGAACTCTACGTAACACCAAGATCATTTCGCCCTGGACCAATATGTGCCTGGCCCACATCTACTCTCTGTCTTTCTTAGACTGGGGGCTCACGAGCTTTGCGTACATTACAACATATAAATAAGCAATTACTTCCATTTATTTTTCAAATTACTATTCTTTCAATATTATTATTATTATCACCTTCAAATTTTGATTCACGTTTCTCGATGCCATGAGGTATTTCGAGCCATGTTATTTAGTTTCGGAAAAGTCTTAGACAATGAGAAGAAATGTAAAGCATTTGTGAAGGCCGGAACGATCTAATAATTTTTTTTGTAATTTC